GTGAAAATATGTTTAATAGGAATGTATATGTAGAGCCTGTATCAGATTGCATGTCGTCTTGGGGACTGGGGGAGAGGGGGGAGGGACAGAAAATTTAGAACTCAAAATCTCATGAAAGTGAATGCTGAAAACTAAAAATTAATTAATAAAAAAAGAAAAGCTACTGAACTCTAAATACCATTTGACCTAGTTATATCACTATTAGGTATATAAAAAGATGGAAGAAAAGGTCTCATACATATCAGAATGAATTATAGCAGCATGGTTTTTTGTTATTTTGCTGGCAAAGAAATGAAGACAAACAGGTATCCACTGACTGGGAAATGACTGAACATATATAATATTATTGGGGCATAAGAAATACTAAATATGAAGCACATAACAAAACTTTGGAAGGCTAATATGAAGCAATGCAGAGTCTAACAGACAGAATCAGAAGACTTTACCTAATGACCACATTCCCATAAATGAGAAAAAAAGATAATCAAAGACATTAAAACCCTGATCAAGGAAGTGAGTGAGCTCAACTTCAAAAGACTGATAGCAAAGCTCTGAGCCCTCTTTGGTCAGAGAGAAGGTAGACTGTAGGTGAGGAATGAAGCATTCACTGTGAGACATTCTCAATGGGTCGATTTGTTTTTGCTTAACTTCAGTGCCAAAAAGTTTATCTGAATAGTACATATTTTAAAGCATAATGTTGACTTAGTTCCTTAGCATTTCCTCTTCAGGTGGCTTGATCTGGTAAGTTGGTGGCCCTGGGTTCTTAGAGGTTATGGGATAAAAGGACAAATTTTGGCACTTCCTACCACGCTGAAAGAACTGAAGTACAGACCCACCAGAGGCTGTCTGCTATACAAGCACCAGCCTTGGCACTATGTGCCAGGAGACTGAGCACTAGAGATTCAGCCACCAGGGAACGGTTTTTGTCTTTTGTATGTTAAACCATGAAACAAACACCCCCCAATCTTTCTACTTCATGAAATATTTAGAATATAATGAGTTAATCAAAATAATTGCCAAATGGTTTGAAAAGAATGTGTTGGGGGCCAGTGGTCCTCAAGTCAGACTAGAAATGAAGATTTGAGGATCAGGGTTCTGGTACAACATGGGGATGGAAAGAGAGCATTAAATTTTGTGCCAGGCCATACAGCAGGTAGGTACTGGTCTTGAAGTCAGAAAGTCCCAAAGTCAAATCCTGCCTCAGACACTCACTAGCTTTGTGACCCTGGGCAAGTCACTTGACCATTGTTTGCCTCAGTTTGGTCATATGTAAAAAGAATATAATAACAACATCTACCTTGGTTTCTTCATCTGTCAAGTGGGCATATTATCATTAATATCATGAATAAAAAAGAACATTAACCATAATCATTGTTTTACCTGGCTAACAGGGTGGCGTGAGGAAAGAGCTTGATAATGTCATATATCATGATTAATATAAAATATAAAAATGATCATTTAAGTAGCTAGTTCTTATCAAGTACCCATGGAAATGCAATCCTGGTCTCAGAGCATACAGATGAAGTTGAAGTTTCCCGAAGTCCCAGTTAAAGGTCCATCAATTTTTAATAGCTTTTCTTCACTTGTATATGTACATCTTCTCAACTTCATCCATCTCTTACTAACATTTATAGATTTTGAGGGAGGGTCTGTTGCCTTTATCTTTACTTTGCAAGTTTAAACTAGCACAGCATATCTTTGCTCACTCTTGACTATTTTTCACAACCTCTCGGTTGGATTTCTCTTTCCTCATCAATAATAGATTGGTCTTTCATAAAAGTACAGAGGCTATTTTGACCGTTGTCCCCCGTAGGACATCCTAGGCTTCTTCAACACTTACAGATGATAATTGCCTTTTGGGACCATTTTCATTTATCCAGGATTTGATGGCTCAAGGCCACTGCCATAATTTTTCCATTATTTTTATTGCTTTACAAACTGACTTACAATAAGTAGTAAATTAAGTAGTCATTTTTCATTACAGGAGGCATAGGTATCCCCCAAATCACTGAGGAGTGATAGGAAGGAATGCAACAAGCATTTATTAAGCACCTACAGTGTGCTAGGCACTGTGCCATGTACTTTAAAATAGCTCACTTAATCCCTCACAACCACCCTGGGAAGCAGGTGCTATTATTATCTTCACTTAACAATCGAAGAAACTGAGTCAGGCAGAGAGGCCTAGTGATGAAAACACTCAGCTCCAAATTAGTAACCTATATGTAACTCTGAATCATCATCTAAAATTTGGTATGGCAATTCTCTACCTCAGGGAAGGACAAGTAGTTTCCAGTTGAGGTAGGCAAGCTCGGCATGATACAGTTACTAGAATACTGCATTTGGAGTCAGAGAAACAGAGTTTGAATCTTTGCTCTCCCACTTGTCATCTTAGAGAAATCGCTTCATCTCTTGTTTTGGTTTCCTCATTTGTAAAATAAGGGCTTTGGATGGGGTGGCTTCCAATTCTAAATCGACTCCTGGTGAGGATACGGACATCGTGACTACCTGCAGCACAACTTTTTTTCCCCTTAAGAAGACTGGCATTTTGGAGCAGTGCACTATGGGAATTAGGCAGATTGGTACGTGTTTTCACATCAGTAGAAACAGGGACCACTTAACTCTACATGAGGATCCCTGTGGCTGCATTTTGACTTAGTTTTAAAATGTAATGTCACCTACGTCTTAGTGTATTTTTCTTTATCTTGTTAAATATTTCCCACTGACATTTTAATATGGTCTGGCTGCACTTGTAAGCAATGTGGGCATGTGGCCCGCCATTTGTATGTTTGATGTCACTGTTCTAGAGAGTCTAAAAGACTTTGGGAAGAGAGGCCAAGAGGCCAGGTTTCTCAATATGTGTTTTGTTTTTGTTCAGTCATTTCAGTCATGTTGGACTCTTTGTGACCCCCTTTGGGGTTTTCTTAGCAAAGATACTGGAACTGCAGGTGCTGTCCATGGAATGATAAAAGCTTACATTCTACTCCAAGGGAAATGACATGTATACAGATAAGTAACAATAAAATGAATACGAAATGGTTTGGTTTGTTTTTGTGAAGAAGAGGGAATCGTTGGTGAATTTGAGGTGCCTCTGGAACACCCAAGTTTCGATGTCTTGCAGGTGATTCAGAAGAGGAGGTTCAAACAGAAACTCTTCTGCTTGTATTTTAAAGCCCTTCACAACAGAGTTCTACCTTACCTTTTCAAGCTTATTACACATTACTCTCCTTCATATGTTGGGTGGTTTGCTGCAGCACGTGGCATGGTGTCCAGCATGTTAGAAGTGTTTAAATAAATCCTTACTGAACCAAACTTGCTGGAAGCTACTGAGAGCTAACGGCTAGATGTGTACATGTGGGGGTCCTCTGGCCAGAGATGGAAACTACACTGCGGAGATCCCCAAAACAGACACTGGGGAAGGGAGAGGAGGAGATGGCAGAAGCAGAGCCCCAAAGTACATTCATGAAGACAGGAGCCATGGGAACAGGGACGGCAATGTGACAAATTAAATTAAGAAAGAGCTAGCAGACAGGCCGAAGGAGAATCAGGAGGCCACAGGGGTCTGAGGAGGAGGTGGCACACAACAATTTGAAATACAGAGGTCAAAAAGGGTGAGATATGACAAAAGGGAAGAAATTACATTTACCTACTAAGAGATCTTTGGTAACCCTGAAGAGAGCAATTTCAGGCAGATGGTAGGGTTTAGAGGCAGAATGCAAATGGTTGAGAAGAGATTGCAGCAGGAGAGGCAACTCAAAGCCTGAAAGAGAAGGGAGATGGAAGAGGATTACATGAGGGGATGGCAGGAAGAATTCAATTCAAAAAGCAATTAGCAAGTGCTTGCTAAGCCCAAGCAACATGCTAGACGTGGAACCTAAAAACAAAACCAGAAGACTCTCCCTCTGCCCAACCTGCCAAGTAAAGCCTTCACTTCTCAGATGACCTCCCAGCTGCTCCACCGGGCTCTTAGCTATTAGATCTTGTGGCTTTTCACATCAGGGGCTGTTTCGGCCTTTCTTTGTATCCTCAGAGCTTACTTAGCATGGTGCTTGGCACTCAGTAAGTGCTTAATAAAAGAATGGTGACTGTGTGTGTATAACCTCAAGACACTCACATCCTACTGTGGGAGGGGGAAACAACCTGGACACAGATAAATATGCAATGTGTAGACTGCAAATCCAAAATAATGGGGAAGGGGAGGAAAGGGGGAGGGGAATGATAACTGGCACATCAGTAAAGGCTTAATGGTGGCCCTTTGATCTGAGCTTTGAAAGGAGATAGAAAGATTGAGGTGCTTTTTTTTTTTTAGGATGTAAGGGACCTGGCCATGTTTGCATATATCAGGAAAGGAGCTAGGTGATAAAGAGAGACTGAAGATTTCAAAGAGCATGATCAAAGAAGTAGACTCCTAGAGGAATATATAGAGTAGCTGGGATCGAGGGCCTCGACAAGGGTCACCTCCTCTGCAGAGACGAGAAAAAGAAGAGAAGGGAGAGGTGATGTGGAAAGGATAGCCTGCCTATCACAAAGGCAATTAATACAAATTTGAGGGAAATAGGGGTAGGCTAATAGCATGATGTCCCTGTATACACATTTCTCAGTGGACACAAATACATGAAAAAATGTTCAGTGTAGCTCTAGGACATATCAGGTGGAATCCCATAGGATCATAAAATCATCATTTTCTTTTTTTTTGATCATAACCACATTCAGCATCATATTTCGCAGAAAACTGTGTATGTTTTTTTCCCATATAGGACATACTTCAAAGTAACAAAATAATTTTAACAACTGTAGTGTTCCTTCTTCCCGTTAGATGTAGATCGTTTCTTCCCTTATGGTACATAAATAGAAGAAAAGTAGTCTTTGAAATACTTACGTCCAGAGGTTCTTGGCTTGTTGGGTGTGTGTGTGTGTGTGTGTGGTGTGTGTGTGTGTGTGTGTGTGTGTCTGTGTGTGTGTATGTGTGTGTGTGTGTGTGTTGATTTCTTGTTCCGACAGCCCTAATTTTCATTTTCTCTCCAGCCCTGGGCATTCTTCCCAAATTTACATACCAGTCTCCGTCCATCCACACGTGCTAGGATTTCTCGTTTGTAATAGTACCTCACAGATCGGTTGAGTTTTTCGTAGGTCGTGCTACTGTTGTTCTTTTTCTTCCCCCAGAGCTGAGCCACTGCCTCTGATTTCAAGAACCTGAAGATGCCCTCAGACCGCTCTTCCCACTTTATTAACCCTGGGTTCTTATCTGCGTTCAGGAGAATATCTCGGATGAACTCCCACAAATGAGTCCCTCGAGGGTTGTGTTTTTTGGGGTGAGATTTGGCGGGATGCTCCTGCTCCTTCTTCAGATCAGGTGAATCAACGGGGAGGTGGCCAGTGGTTGTCATGGAGATCTGAGCTCGGCAGAAAGTTTTGCTGTCCATCATTTCTACTGTGCTACCATAGTTTGTGTCATATAAATAATTATCTTCTTTCCAAGAGGTCATAATGGAAGGATCTGCTTGCTCTGTCTTCACTATGACATTGTGGGTGGACTGGAATGGGTCACTGCTACATTGACCATTCCACTTGAGATGTTGCAAGTTGTTATAGAGGATCTGGCCAGCTTCCCCCGCTGCTCAGCTAAACTCTTGCAAGGTCATGCTGCACAAATGTTCCCCATTGATGTCAAATTCCTGGAAGGGGATGCAATTGGCATCAAGCTGGTTGGTATCCAGGAGGTGCTGGAGCCACTCCCATACCTGGTACTTGGTCCAGTACTGGGGATGGATCTTGTGCCATTGGCCTCCAAAAAACCCACTGGAAACTGGAGTGTATACATTACCCCCTAATCTTCTTGTTGTGCCTAAGTGTGTCACAGCTTCTGCAATGCAAGGCTGGCAGCAATTGTATCCAGTTTTCTGAGCCTCAGTTTCCACATCACTGCATGTGGGGTAACTGTCTGTCGAGGCCGGCTGTTGGTGGAGAAGATGGTTGCTGGAATTGAGATTCATCACACCACTTCCTTCCAAAATCATGATCTGTAAGGGGATCCAACAGTCCACTCAGTTAATGCCTTTATTACAATCTCGCAAGATGGCTATCTGCTCCTTCGACACATGTGGAGAGAGAGCTAAAGTCATCATTTTCAAAAGACTTGGGTGATGGGAGTGAGAGAATGGTCAATAAGTTAACAGATCAAGTTAAGTTGGCAGGTCACTAACACCTTGAAAAAGAATTCCGAATGACCTTGACAGGTGACCAGACCAGATAACAGACTTCTTGGAAAGGAAAAACAAATTGCCTAGAACCGGGTATGGAGGGGTATGGGGGACACAAACTAAGCAAAAACACAGCAGAAACATATTGAGTCTAGAAGGTCCCACAGATGGCCGTGAACAAGCAAAGGTGGTTAAGTTCAATTGAATTTGCAATCCTAACATGCTAAATTGAAAGAAATATAGTATAGAAACAAGAACTAATCATCCCATCACTACACATGGCACCTGAGAGGCTATTTATCAGGGTATTTAGCACAGAGATGCTCAATCTATTAACACATGCCTCCATGACGGTCTGCTTCCCCATGTAGGAGGGAAGATCAGGCAAAGAAAGTTTTAAGTTCCTAATTATGCTGGAATATCAAATACCTCAGTGTGTTAATTGGGTAAATGAGCTAATACAAAAATAGCAGTTTAAAACGTACCTGGCTAGCAACATAATTTTTGCTTTGAACATCTGACACAGTTTTGGCACTTATAATTATACATTTTGCAATTGTAAATTTTTGGCACAACACCAGCGATTGCAGACTGTGCAGTATGGCTAGGGTACTCAGATACTCATCACCTCTCCCTTCCCCTCCCCCTTTTCCTCTGGAGATTTAATCATCCATGCCCTGTTATAACGATTAGCTTACTTTTGGGTTTAAGAATGACACAATTGCCCCTCAGGTCTATGCGGTCCCTTCCTCTGCTGCTCTATAGAATTAAAAGAATAACTAGGAGTACAATTAGAATCTCTCAGAGCCCAGTTAGGAAAATCCCTAACCTTTAGGCAGGGGTTTGGCTTTCCCCTCTAAATGTATGTCTATTTCTAACTAACCCTCTGGCTGTTTTTATGATTGAGACAAAATTCAGGTTACCAGATGTGTTTGGATAAAGAAGCGAGAAGAGTGTGTGACAGTGTCTGTTAACGGACAGGCACCATAATGGGAAACTGAGGACAGAGCACACCCTTTTTTTTGGGAACTTCCCTTAGTCCTTGAAGAGGTGGATACAACCAGCACCTTCAACAAAAGTCTGCTCCAAGATCGTGTAGGAGCCAGTGCCCCTCGTATGTCTCTCCCTTATCTTCTGCAGCTCAGATCTCTTTTTTCTTTCTCCTTTTCCATGTTCCCACACCACCCTTGACTGTGTATGCCCCTTTAAGAATTCTTATGTATGACTCAGATCTGCATTATGACTCAAAGATCATGGCAGTCAGACAAAGTCTGCCCCTTTGAACTGCAAATTCCAAGATGCCAGGCAGTTTCAAACCTCTATTAAATTAAAATATTGGTACAAGTTAAAACACTAATTCCCATAGAAATATATCAAATGTATGAATCCACAGGATATATAAGTGAAATATACATGAGAACCCCAAGAAATGCTCTTCTCAATTGTGAGATTATTAGCCCTTCAGTTTACTTAGCTATTTGGTAAAGAGTGAATTTTCTTTTCTTTTCCTTTCTTTTTTTTTTTTGGTTAAGCAATGCGGTTAAGTGACTTGCCCAGGGTCACACAGCTAGTGTTATATGTCTGTGGTCTGTGGTCACATTTGAACTCATGTCCTCCTGAATCCAGGACGGGTTCTCTATCCACTGTGCCACCTAGCTGGCCCCGTAAAAAGTGACTTTTCAAACAAATTTTCAAATAGGAGTAAAAGGAAATAATATGTTTGATCAAGATTTCTCCCAGAGAAATAAAGGTGAGTGACAGAAGAAGATCTAACTAGTTCAATGGGGTTTGACTCTCTTTTTCTGATAAGAAAAAAAAAAAAGCAATAATCTATGGGCAAATAGAGCCAGAGGAAATGTCCTCAATTTAAAAAAGTAATTTGTTTAACCACAGGTAATTGGAATACAATTTATAAGCAGCAGAGAAAGAAATATTTTTTCAATAGGCTAAAAACTCCATTTTTTCCCCAACCAAATCAGTGATTATTTTAGCATAGGACATTCCCAAGTGAGAAATTTCCATCAACCAGTGCAAATTGGCACCTTCTCTGTACCTTATGGTATTCAAGAACGGCCTTGGAGCCCTGAGATGCTAACTGACTTTCCCAGGGTTACAGCCAGTCCGTGTCACAGGCAGGCTAGAATCCCGGTCTTCCTGACTCAGCCACCAAATCTCTACCCAATTCTCCATGTTGCCCCTCATTATGGAGAAATACTTGAATACACACAGATCACCTCAATAGGGTTACATGGGGCAGGTCCAACTTTCTTTAATTTAGCCTCCCTGGGATCACACAATAACTATCACCACATTTTCTTCTGCATCACACGATTCAACCCCCATTACTTGTCAATCAATTTTCCAGGATAATTTTTTCTAAGCTGAATTATGCCCTACTTTCTTGTGTTCATTAGAGTATACTTTATATCCTCATCAAACTATTGAGCTATTCCTAGCAACTAATCTTGCTTCTTTCAATTTAGTAGGTTACCACCAATAGCTGTACATATGGCACAGAAATCTAGCTAATCATATTCAAGGACTCTTGCCACCACTACCACCAATGGGAGTACCTTGGCAAGTCCATTTTTGCACTCTCCACAAACTGCAATTTCCTCATTGCAATCTGGAAAGTTCTCTCCAAGGACTCTCCACACTGCAAATAAATGAAAGAACACAGAAATAGCACAGTAAAGACATTGGTTACCCTCACTGCAATCAATAGACAGGAAACATTATGAGAGCACAGATGAATCTAACATATATACCTCAAAAGAAGTTAAGCAATTTCCCAGAGCATTAAAAAAAAAAAGTGTGTGTGTGTGTGTGTGTGTGTGTGTGCCTGTGTATATGTACACTTATATGTGGTATTAGGTATTGTTTAGTAAAGATAATGGGGGGAGGAGGAAATACACATGAAAATGATTCAATTGCAAAGTGTGGACAGTCCATGGAACTGCTGTTCAGAGGAGTAATTTTTGTGGAAGTAATTATTGTCATTATTCAAATTATTGATATGGAAGGTTATGTGTGTGAGGGGCAGTGTGCTATGATGGACAGGCAAATCTTTTTTTCTTTTTTTTTTTAATTCTGAAATTAACCAACTCCAAATGAGATGAGCATTTCAGTAGAGGAAACAGAGGAGACAAAGAGGATCACAAAGGAAGCCATGACCCTGGATTATGAAGAGCTTGCTTTGCTTTTTAAGCAGATAGTATATTCAACAGGTCAGCTCTGATACTGTCCTGCTTGTCTGTGTTTCCTCCTCATCTTCGTTCTGTTTTCTTCTCCACATTCTTTAAAAAAAAGTTTTTCTTTTTCATTTTAGTAACTCCTTTGCTGCCTTGCCTCTCCCTTCATCTGAAAAAAAGGAAACTATAACCTTGCATCAGATAAACACATTCAAGTAAAAGCAACCTTCCTTTTGGCCAGATCTGAAAATTAAGGCCCTACTCCCTATCATGAGGTCATGACCTCTCTGTCTGGAGAAGAGGGCCACTTTTGGAGTCAGAAATTCCAAGGCTCAAGCAGGACTTATGCTGCACACTACCTTTGTGACCATGGGCAAGACATGGAATCTCTCCATATCCCCAAAGAAGTTGCTGATCACATCTGCACTATAATGAACTTTCATACCATGAAGTTCTCTGTACCAATGAAATCACAGGCCAGGACAGGAGAAGAAAATTGTGATTATAATCTGTAATGGAAACCTGGCCTTTGCTGTGGTGGCCAGAGTGCTGGGAGAGGTCACCAGCTTCACCCTTCCTCCTACCTTCCTCTCTAGTGCCTTCTTGAGACTCACTTGATATTCAAGGCAAATTCATGACCTGATACTTGTCATCAGAGGATAGGTAGTAGGGGGACATTGAAGTTAGAAAGTCAAATGAGAGAAGGTGCAAGTGCTTAACCCTGGTGTGAAAAAAATCAGAAGGACACATGGACTGTGCAGGGGTGGCATGGTCTGCTCTTTAGTGTGGGGAAGGGGTGAAAGGGATTCGGTGCCAATAATTCAATGAGGTGCAAGGGCTAGAAAAAAAATCCCTTTGAGAAAGATGAATCTAGAGGCCTTAAGAATTGCCCAAGGGGGCTCTTTTGTGGACGACTCGAGTGGATTTGTGAGCCTAACTAACAAGACAGCTAGACCTTCAGCTAGCTCCAAGAGCCTTTGCCTGGTGGTCTGGTTTGAAATCTCTGAGGAAGTGCTGATGTTGGCGGCAGCTACACCAGCATCACTGGGAGGATGGCAAAGCTTCCATGTGTTATTGGGAGGGGATACCAACCAGAGTGGTTGTGATGGAACAGTTAGGAACTTCCTGGACCATGTCAAGAAACTACAGGATATAGAACCAAGGAAGAATAATGCACAGAGTCACAGGGTAGAGCAGGGTTTCTTTGCCAGGGGACCCTAGGAAAATGAGGAACAAACACTCACTCTTTCTTTCTGGTACTGTGTGTCATGTGGGCTGTGTAAGTCCTACCTCTGAGGTGCGCCCCACCTCCCCGGAACCCCCTCAACCAGGATTTATACAGTGCTTCAAAATTCTGGTACCACTTTCAGGTTGGAGATCCCTCAGACAAATGAAGAATATAAGGTTCTTAGAGAGTTTAGAAATTCTCTTTTTCATTTTTTTTTTAGAAAAGAGATATTGACCTCCATGGGGTGACTATGAATCTGGAGCAACTATATAGGTTCCTGTGGCAAGTGGGGCTCACTGTATGGGTGAGTTGAATCTCTAACAATCTCCAAGTCTGGAGAAAATATAAAGGTCCCTAGGGAAGATTGAATTCTCTAGTGTAAAGTTTTTTGACTGTCAATGGACTTGAATATGAATC